ACCGCAAAATTGATGGAAAGAATTCAAAGTTCTTTAAATGTTTCAGACGATAATGTTTTTGGATGGACTGATTCCACTATAGTTCTGGCATGGCTTCAAAAACCACCAAATTCTTGGAAGACCTTTGTTGGAAATCGTGTATCGGAAATAATAAATGTGACGCGTGCTAATCGTTGGCGTCATGTTAATACAAAAGAAAATCCAGCAGATTGTGCTTCTAGGGGAATATCTCGAGCACAATTACCAGATTATGAATTATGGTGGAACGGCCCAAAGTGGTTACATACTACTAAGGATATTATGTCAACTAATGAATATCATGAAACTGATTTAGAATTAAAAGCTGACTTTATACAATGTTTAAGTGTTAATGTTATGCCGGAAGAATTTATTTTATGCAAGTATTCTAGTCTAACAAAACTGAAAAGGGTTTTGGCATATTGTATGAGATTTATTAAAATAAGTAAGCAACGCGTTACAAATAGAGTAACTTTAGATACAAATATGTCTAATGAATTCCCTAAGTATTTAACAACTAATGAATTAATACAGTCCATGAATTGTTGCATTAAGATTTCACAAATGTATCATTTTCAAACTGAAATCAATGAACTATCGAATAGTGAATGTGTTTCAAAAAAGAGTCCTTTGTATTTTTTACGTTCATTTATTGATGAACATAACATAATAAGAATAGGTGGTAGGCTTAAAAATGCCCCTATCCCTTACGACGCCAAACACCCTATTGTAATTTCTGGAAAATCGCAATTAGCTAAATTGATCATAGATTACACACATAAGAAAACCTTGCACGGAGGACCATTGCTTATGTTAAATGTTATTAGATCCACATATTGGATCACCAATGTTAAGTCTCATGTAAAATTACATGTTAAGCGATGCATTTCTTGTATACGATATGCTCCAAAATTTGCTACTCAATTGATGGGAAATCTGCCACCAGCACGAGTTACCGCCTCCAAACCATTTTCTAGTAGTGGTGTTGACTTTGCTGGTCCTTGCTATCTAAGATCTTCAAAGCTTAAGAAAGCTACTTTGTATAAAGCGTATATTGCAGTATTTATCTGCACCTCAACTAAAGCTATACATTTGGAATTAGTTTCAGAATTATCAACTAGTGCCTTTATAGCTGCATTCAAAAGATTTACTTCTCGCCGTGGGCATTGTACTCATTTGTTTTCAGACTGTGGAACTAATTTCATTGGTGCAAACTTTGAGTTAACAAAAATGTTGAACAAAGCTAGATCATCTTTGCCTGTAGAATTGCGCGAGTTATTAGCTACAGATGGCACTGAGTGGCACTTTATACCTCCAGGTTCGCCACATTTCGGAGGGTTATGGGAGGCAGGTGTGCGTTCAACGAAACATCACATCAATCGTGTTGTGGGGGATACTAAACTCACATTTGAAGAGTATGCTACCCTTTTGACTCAGATAGTGTTGTCTTAATTCACGTCCCATTTCTGCTTTAACCAATTCGATTGATGATTATACCGCCCTAACTCCTGGACATTTTATCGTGTTTGGCCCACCAAGTGAAATTCCACACAAGAATGTGACTGATATTCCAATGAATAGACTTAAGCGTTGGCAAGATATTGAACACATGTTGCAGTCGTTTTGGAAAAGATGGTCTCAAGAATATTTAGTTACACTACAACATCGGTATAAATGGCATTCCATTAAAAATCCTGTTAAAGTTAATGATTTAGTTATTGTAAAAAATGAATGTTTGCCACCTTCAAAATGGCTGTTAGGAAGAATATTACAAACTCACCCAGGTAACGATGGGATAGTCAGAGTTGTTACGGTTAAATGTAATAATAGCATATTCAAAAGGCCTATTACAAAAATATGTTTATTACCCATAGAATCTTAATTTAAAGGACTAATTCGTCCTTGGGTGGCGGCATGTTTAGTAGTTTATAAAAAAGTAAACTGTCAATAAAGTTAGTTATGTCAGCCTACGTTAGATGTTTCATTTTCGTAGTATAGTGTGATGTGTGAACACCAATTCATCAAACATTACTTATATGAATACTTATGTATCACTTTATATTATAGCAAAATTTTATAAGTCTATCTTTCAAATTGACGGAGTTACAGATTTTTAATCCGAAACACACCGAAATATTCCACAGTGCGCGGCCCCCGAGCTAACATCACCCAGCTCGGAGGAAGATCTTCCCCTTTGGCCTTCCTACAACACCTATAGAGATGCGTGCGTCGTCGCTCGCGGAAGCGGAACACCTTTCGGTCGATGCCGCCGCGCCGGGCGCGCGGTAGCAAGCAAAGCAAGTTGCGTCTTTACCTACTCTACCCAATTACTTTTATTTCAACGTGAAATCAGCCTTAAAACAGATAATTCAATATATATTCGATATGATTTGGTTAATTTTTCACACAATTATTGCGACATGCATCGGGATCAGATGTCATCCAAAACAGCTAGCGGAAAAATATAAACAACGGGTGATCGTGATATCGAAGTAAACATAAGAGAAAAAACTATTGTTTTGGAATTGAAACAATCCAAATATTATTCAATTATTTTAGATTGCACTCCAGATGTTGCACACGAAGAACAAATATCAGTTGTCGTACGGTACGTCCTTTTAAATGCAAGCAACAACAAGGCTGAAGAATAAGGAAAGAAAAGAAAAAGCGTTTTGAGTTTTTTTCCTATTATAGACACTACTGGCCTGGGTTTAACTCAATTTTTGTTAGATTTTTTAATCTTAAACAAAATTGATATGCAAGATATGCGTGGTCAAGGTTACGATTATGGTGCAAGCAAACATGAAAGGGAAAAATGTAGATCTTCAAAAACGAAATTTAGATATAAACCCGCGCGCATTTTATGTACCATATGCGGTACCATATGTACCATGCGGCACATAGCCTAAATTTGGTATTGAATGACGCTGCTAAAAATTCATTAGAAATAGTAAATTTCTTTTTAATTGTGCAAGAAATTTGTTTTTTTTTCTGCGTCAACAGCGCGGTGACGAGTACTTGCTAAAGAAGTGCCAACTTTAAGTTTAAAACCACTCTTAAATACTCAATGAGAGAGCAGGGTTGAAGCACTAAAAGCTCTACGTTTTGAACTGGGAAAAGTGTATGATGCCTTGTTTACCAATTATTCCGATAGGAGCAAAGATGCGGAGTCAAGAAATATAGCAAATTCATTACTGGGAAAAATTAAGTTGCTTAAAATCATCTGCTCTCTGCTTATTTGGTTTGAAATTTTAAGCAAGATAAATAATAGCAAGGCACTGCAAAAGTCAGACGTTGTATTGTCAGAAGCGGTAAAAATGATTGATAATGCACAAATAAGTTTGTCTGAATTCCGTAATGACTCCGCTTTTGAAAAGCTCCTTAACAGCGCGAATACTAGCGGAAGAAGTCGAGGCAATAGCAATTTCCCATATCTGCACGCCCTCGCGCTCGTAAAAGGGTTTTTAATTATGAGGCGGAAGATGAACCGATCACAGACGCGAAAACACATTTCAAAGTCAATTTTTACTACTTTTTATTAGACACCGCAATTACTGCTTGTATTTTATTGGTCAATAAAATGGTTCTCTCTCTCTCTCTCTACTGAGTTCGACGAAACGGTTCGAACTTCTCAATCAAAATAATGTAGTTTTTCATTTCTTCAAAAATTGACACACTCTGGAAGGATTTGGACTCGGATACAAAAAGAACACATTGTTCTAATTTAGAAAATAAACTTTGCCAAGCTGGCTCTTCAGATGTGGAAAAGTTCGAGCTCTTTAATGAAATCGAATTATTACCGATGTTTATTGATGATTCCACTACGTCGTTGGATATTTTAAATTACTTGTTCACGAATAAATTGATTTCAGTATTCCCAAATCTGTCCACAGCACTGAGGATTTACCTCACACTTCCAGTCACGGTAGCACACAGCGAAAGGTCATTTTCTATACTAAAAATAATTAAAAAGTATCGAAGATCAACAGCAAAGTAGATTGATACATTTATCGTTAATAAGTATTGAACATGAAATCAAAATTGAAGGCAGTGACATTGTTAGAAATCAGAAATCAATATATCTTTATTCAAATTGGATGTATAGTACAACTCTTTTGAATCGTCCAAAAATTTTTTTTTCCCTACCACTCGTTATGGACATATTTTTTAGCTGCGGGGAAAAACGAGCGAAAAAAACTCCACAACATTAAAAGTCTAATGTAACAACATTTACAAATCATTATGTTGTTACAACGTCAATACAATTATTATTTATTTAATATAGAAAACCTGTTGGAATGATTGGAACAGTTCAAACCCAAGCATTTTTGTCTGTAATATAATCAGACACTTTGTAATAAGCTTTTGAATAAGTGTTTTTTTATAATATCTTTAAATTTATTTACGGCTAACTCTTGGATATTATAGGGGACTTTATGTATAAGCGAACACAAAGACCTTTAAATGAATTATTAAAGATTCCGCTAATGCAAAAGCACGAAAAGTATTTTTTTTTGTAAAATCATTTGTTTGTGTGTATATTTGTGAGTAGTTACGAGCGTACTGTAAGATATAATAGTTTTTAATTAAAAAAAACTACAATGTTGTGATTTTTTATTGTTGTAATTTGCACCCGAATTTTTTATGAAAATATAACTGTAAGTATTCCATTTTGACCCTGCTCCTACTAGGGGGCGCCAGGGTACTGGTGGCACACTGGCGCCAGAAGGGCTAGAGCCGCCACTGTCTCAAAGTTTGACAACAACAAAGAAAATATATTCTTTCTTACCCCAACGACACCAACTCTTTTAATTTAAAGGCTATAATTAAGAGATTAGATGTGATTAAATAAGAGGTAATAGACAATATCAAGTTTTACCAATTTTAAAGTATGCCAACAGCAACAGCAAAGAAATTATCCACTAACTTTACCTTGTTTTTTACCCGGTGTATTAAGTATGAAGGATAGTAGACGAACTCACCGTGCTTCGCGCTAGTTTCCATCTCTGTTAGCTCGGCGAGCACAGTGACGTACCACTCGAAGTCGACCACGTGCTGATAGTTGTTCTGCGAGCAAATCTCAATCATGCGCGTGAGCAACTCGTCGCGGTACAAAGTGCCTTCCGCGCGCTCCATATGAACCATAAGCTTTTTCACTATCTCCATTAGGTTTTTCTTCGATACCTGAATTCAAATTTTACAAGTTTTATTAGTAGGTAGGTCAATGAAAATTTTGACTCAAATCCATTGCAGTCTTCATTATCTGAATCATAATGACAGTGTGTAATTATAAAAGTTCAGCCTGTCGACTGTGGGCAGACTATCGCTGCGCAAATTACTATGCCAAAAGTCGTAGCCAAGCAATAAGGTAGGTTACTGTTATTAGGGAATAGTGAATATCCAATTCATAAGAATCATTTTGTTTTGATCTACAATAAACTTACCATGCCATATAATAATCCTAGAGCTCTCAGTCTTATAGACTCGTCTTTGTCGTCCAAACACGCTAGAACAAGGTCTTTGTGAGCTTGAACTGACTTCGGATGAGACTTTAGTATTCGTGACATCGCCAGGAGACCCAGATATTTCACTTTAAACAAAATATTAATGTAATTTTAGCTTTATTATGCCGTTATTCAAAAGTAATACAATTGACGCCATGTTTTTTAGTATTCAACAGTAAACAATGAAGTTACAGACTATTTTATCATAAAATATTATTAAATAAAAAACTATTATGTAAGCATTATAGCTATTAACGGGATTGTTACCATGTACCTTGTTTTTTATGAGTCTCCGATATTTCGGCACTGTTGCAAGCGCCATGATCACGGAGTAACTGAAGTAATTGCGGGTAGATGTTATAGGCAGACATATCGGTCTACCCTCTGACGTCGTCTTTTATTTTATTTTATTTTATTCAGGACAAAAAACAGTGGTACAATTCTCATTAAACAAATAGTATTGTAATACAGGTGACACCTTAAATTATTGTACGACCAACTTCATTATCCACTAATTAATACAAAATACATATTTTTGCGCTTAAGATTTTCTATTAATACAGTAGGTACCAAGAAATGAACAGAATATAAATTAGTAACTGAAAATAATGACATGACCTATTAATCAAACCACTGTGCTAAAGTAGTTAAATCCAGCCAGGGTGCAAGTCTAACCGATGTATATCTATTTTAGTATATTCACATTCACTTAGATACTTCTGAACCTTGGGAGAAAACTGAAGTGACACTTTTTTTGTATAAGGATGGTGACAATTGAAAAATATCAATATTATGCAAATTATCGTTGTAACTTTTCATCACTCTATACAAAGGTGCACGGGCCCCAGCATTAGTATTACACCGGGGGAGTGAAAATAATCGATGATGGTAATTTTGTTGGATTCGTTTTGATCTACTGGGTATCTGATAATTTATTTTATTTATCAAATCAATGCAATCAAAGTTATTATTACATAGATTATAGAGAAACATAGAACTCAGGAGTGACCTTCTCACTTCGAGCGAGTCTAGTGAAAATTTTATTAGCAAGTTTTCATATGAAGCTTTGGAGTGACAACATTTAAAATTAACATATCTCAAAAATTTCCGTTGAACAGACTCAACCTGTTTATTGTACTTATTATAGAAAGGATTCCATATGATGACACCATACTCAAGCTGTGATCTGATCAAGGATTTAAAAAGGTATATAAGTGTGCTTGGACGTTTGAAAGCTGAACAGGACCGAGCTACAAAGCCGTAAAGTTTGTAAGCCTTACTGGTGATATGATCTATATGAGAATTCAGGTGCAGTTCAGAATTAAAGAGGATTCCCAAATCACGAATTAATGTGACATTTTCTAATGGTGTGTTATTCAAATAATACGTGTTTAGTACAATGTTTCTATTCTTTGTAAATGTTATAGCCTTACACTTTGGTATGCTGAGATGCAGTTTGTTAATGCTACAGTACAGTGAGAGGCGGTCTAAATCTTGTTGAAGTTTAATGCAGTCATCAAAGTTCGTGATGGTGCGATATACCTTTAAGTCATCAGCATACATGAGGAAGTTACTATTAATGAAACATTAGGAAATATCATTTATAAATAAAATAAAGAGCAAAGGCCCTAAAATTGAACCTTGAGCTACACCCGAAGATACATAAATCGGTGATGAGGAAAAGCCATTTACCACAACCTTTTGGGTCCTATTGGTTATGTAAGAATGAAACCAGCGAAACAAATTTCCACGAATCCCGTTAAATGCTATCTTGCGTAGAAGGATAGCGTGATCAACCTTGTCGAAAGCCTTGCAGAAGTCAGTGTAAACGGAATCGACTTGTTGACGGTTATCCATACATTCAAATAAGAATGTGGAATATGACATTAAATTAGTGAGAGTCGATCGTTTCTTGACAAAGCCGTGTTGCTGTGATATGATCCTAGCATGAAGGCTAGGATATATTTCATTATGAATTAATTTCTCTAGGAGTTTCGACACGGTTGACAACAACGAGATGGGACGATAATTTTCAACATCATGCCTGGAACCATCCTTATGAACAGGGACTATATTAGCACTTTTCCACATTGATGGGAGTTTCCCTTCTCAGATACTTTGATTAAAAAGTATAAAAAGAGGCGTGCACAAGGTATTTACCGTAGACTTAATAAAGATAGGCGGGATGCCATCAGGTCCAGCACCTTTGGTGATATCTATTGACTTAATGACAGATACTATTACATCAATTGGGAAATATATATGTGCTATCGTATCATCGCTATCTGTTTGATCAAAAGACGTTCTATAATCGACTTCACAGTGATCAGACAATTCGTAAACGGAACTAAAAAAACGTGAAAATAACTCACAGGCTTCGTTCGGGTTATTTGTTCTAGAATTCAAATATGTTATTTCTTGAGGTATGACATTCTTTGACTTACGGTTGTTTACATAAGACCAAAATATTCGAATATCATCACGCATTCCCTCCTCTATAGAATTAATATAAGTGTCTAGGCACTTTTGACATAAATCTTTAAATCTTTGACGATACAGGGAAAATGTTTCATAGTCAGAAATATTCTGATACTTTTTCCACCTTATCCATGCCTTGTTTTTATTTTTAAATATATGTATTAAAGGTTTTGTGTCATTCCTTTTATTGGGACGTGCGGGTACACGTTCTTTAATTATTTTATAGATAGTTTCATAAAAAATATTAACAGCATCCTCGATGGGCAAACTCCGTAATATATTATGCCAGTCAATATCCGCAATATCTTTGTTTATTAAGCTATAATTAGCTTCGATATAACGATATCGTTATCGTTAGCATCGTTAGCGTTATCGGTGCAGAATTCCGTAACATTGCACTAAATTTTGGACATTGGTAACTCTTAAGTTTTTATTAATACATGTTACTGCTAAGTGTTGGAGCAAATGTTGGATCAAATGTTTGACATTACATGTTTCGGTAGTTAAATAAATAAATGATGTCTTACTCATAAGGATTCTGATAGTATCCTGTAACGATTCATAAAATGTATGATTCATAAAGTTTGCCAATAAGCAGTAATTGCCACTCCAAAGAGTATTCATATGTGATACGTAATGCAATAATTGAATACAATGCCAATAATATTGGCACAAATGCTTAACCAAATATTTGGCAGAATATATGGTAAAAGGTAAATTATTAAATATTATTTTGTTTATTAAGATTTTGATTAAATTGTGTAAATTATCGAACGATTCATAAGTTGTACATTTCATCGATTTTCTTAACACGCAAAAGTTGCCATTCCAAAGGCTAAATTTCATACAAGGAACGTATTGCAGCAAGTCAATACATATAACTGCATTGTGTTGGAACAAATGTTCGACCAAATGTTGGCTAGAACGTATTACAGCAGTTAAATAATTAAATGGTAATATTGTTTTAACTGTGAATTTGACAAAGCTGTTTACATTATCCAATGACTTATAAAATGTATTGATTGTAAAATATGTTGACACTAATAATTCATTTTGAGTTGCAATAATTAAGTATGTAAATATTATCATACTCGGGTGCAAAAATATTAGTTTTAAAATTACAATTGGAAGTTCCCACCATGTTACATGATAGATATAGAAAGTAGTAGCACACTATAATCGCAATAAATACGCAAAAAGTGTCACTGCCAAGGTCATAGGTAAAGGTTGTCGGGGTATTCACTTTCAATACATTTAACCTTAATAGCACAAAGTATTCAGCATCTAATTTGACACTCATTACCATTACACAACACAGATCACCCTCACAAGTCTCATTAACATAATTAAATATTTTTCGTATTATTTGATGAATTTGAAAAGTAATCATGATAATCCAATACAGATTGCTCAGATTTGCTAAAGAAATAGTACCATTATTGGATATTAATTTCAATATTTTGATAAAGTGGATATTCAAAGATAGGTAACTAAACCAAAATGGCAAGCGTGGGCCAATTGTACGCATACTTATAATTACAAAATAATGTGCAATTAATAGACTGCAATAATCATTTACACACTGAGTTTTCTTGTGTACAAAAAAATGTAATATGCACTTGATAGAAAAATGTAACTCAAAATGGAAACAATTAGCTTCACATATGTGTCAAGTACGGTAATTTTTGATCCAAAATACAAGGCTGGACACAACAAACGTACAACAAAATTACACTCTAATATGAATATTTCAAAAAATAATAAAGAATTCATAAAAAAAAAGCTTATAAAAATATACGGCGCAGGTAGTTAAAAACACTTTATGGTGCCAGCGACCAAATTGTCCTATTGCTCTGTACTGGGAAAACAGAGTAATTAGCAAGCAAGAGACATCAGCAGCGATCTTACAAACACAATAAAAATAAACTAAATAAACATTTTCTTCAAAGATAACACAAAATAAAAGGATACGTAGGTTCTTCATATTATGCCACGTTAGATTTTTTCCTGATTTTTTGCAAGTTTTCGGGAACTCGGATTGAAAAAGCCGGCGAAGTCTCATTTTCTCGTACAAGTATAACTCCATTTCTGACCCAGGTAAATTTATATCCATTCTCCTTGGCAGCCAGCCGAGTTTCTCGAAAAAGTTTTTTGTTCATCAATGTAAGATGGTGTTTTGTATTAGTGTTGGCGTGCGGGACGCGGTGAATAGACACAATGTCCTGACGAGTGATGGGTTGTTTCACTAAGACCCCCATATCAAGCAAGATGGACACAAGATCTTCGTTACGTCTCACATTGTGTTATTTCACCTCAAAATTACCACTCCCTTGATTAAAGGTGAATCAGATAAAGCTCTTCATTCTAAGCGCAAGAGTAAAACTCCCACGATTCTAACTATAATAGTTTCGACGAAATCCCGGTTTTTCTTTTTTTGTACCACATTGTGAAAAAGAAATAAAAAAAAAATTTTGTCTAAACTATTACAGTTATTTTATTTTTTACGTTGTATTTCAAAAGGTATTATTTTTATCCATATTATGAGTCTTCTATGGCTGCCCTAGAGCTTGTAGGAACCGAGAAATCGGCGATTTAGTGATTTTCGTTT